TTTGGTTGAACAAAAAATATATTATATATTTATAACGAAAATATAGAAAAAAATAATATTTTTATATTTTTATAGAAAAATGTAGGTCTGGCGTTTCCGCCTTACTGTGTGGTTGTGTGTGTGAATTAATTTTGTTGTGTTATGTGTGTGTGTGTGTGTGAATTAATTGTGCTTTGTTAGGTGTGTGCGTGTAATTAAATTTTGCTGTGTTTAGGTGTGTGTGTAAATTAATTCTATGTATTTAGGTGTGACGTGTGTGTGCGTGTGTTAGGTGCGTGGGTGCGTGGGTGCGTGTGGTGTGTGTGGGTGCGTGTTGAGTGTGTAAAAGGTGGTGACGTGGCGGAGAGAGGGGAAAAAGAGAGATGAGCTGCATTGGGTGACTAAACCTAAATGGTGCATTGGGTTACACCATTTAAACAAACCATAAACTAAACCTAATGCGTGGGCCCCACTTCATAACCCACCAGCCACCATCACTCTCATCCTGTTCATCTCTATCCCATACGCAGTAACTTCCCGCCTCTTTCTCCCAGCCGTCGGCGCCCATCTCTGATGAATCCGGCGCCCTCCATTAGCATGTAGCAGCCCGAAGATCGGTGCGGACCACCGACACGACGAGCAGCAGCTTCCGTCAAGCCGCCACATCTGATATTCCGATGGTCGTCCGTCCGCGAGTGCACCCCCACTCGCTGTCGCTCTCGTAGGTGCTGCCGCCACCGTCTTGCAGCTTCTTCCACCACGACGGGGACAACAAAACCATATTCCGCCGAGAAAAACGAAGACCCGACCTCCGGCCAAAACCGCCATTGATACACTGGTCGGAGTTCGTGCGCAGCATATCGACATCGAAAAATCATGGGAAAAAAGACGAGATCTCTGATCGTCAGACAGGCGGAAGACGTTCGCTCATGGAGGTCGGACATGAAAACTCCGATCAGCTCATCCATTTCCATGGCCAGACGCCGTTTTTCCATTCGTGTTGCGACGGCCAGACCGACAGCTATTCGTGGTGGCTTCAGTCGGCGACTCTCCGGTGCTCGGGACGGCGGCGACGGGAGAAGTGCTCTTAATGTCACCTGCAATTTTTATAACAGGGACTTAATTTTGGAAATTAGATGAAGTCAAGGGGCTTATACGCAATTTCTATAATTTTGATTCATTTATAATTTAGTACTTGGGTTGAATATGTAATTTATAAAAAATGTGATAAATTCATATTAATGGAATCAAAGTGCAGAGGTTATACCCAAGAGCGCTTGGATGAGATGACTTGGGTCTCTTCCAACTTAACTAATGGTCTCGAGTTCGAGCCCTGAGAATGCAGCAGTATTAAAACTCTTGAGGGAGAGCTTTGTCGTCCT